ACTGCGCGGTGTATATTTAATTTAACTTACATCAAAATTACATAAATTTAAACTTTAATTTTGGATCTTCACATGATATTCTTAGTAGTTCTTCGTTATATCGATGCATATTTTGTAAAATATGTAACCGATGGTTCGCCATAATACCCGATAATATCCAATTTAACATTCTACTTTTCTTTTCTTGTGATCCAGTGGTCCAAATTAGGCAATTTTTGTATCATTCGAATCCTTTCATTGAGAGGATTCGAATGGTGAAAACATTATTCGATTTGGATCACGGGATCACAAGATAATGCAAATTCGCCATAATACCCCTCTTCGCCATAATACCCCTATCCCCCTTAAATATAAATAAATTAATTATAATCGTATGATTTTTTACCTTTATGGATTTGTCCCCAAGGTTTCAATCTGCTCGTTCACTACTCGAAAATAAAGAACCCGACTCATTGATTATTTTATTCATAAGCGTCGTATTTTAATTAGTTTTACTAATCTAGTATAACATCATCCAATGCTATTATACGTAACTACTATTTGTAATTAAGAATTATTGATAATTAATAAATTCTGCTATATAAAAATTACCGTAACAATTTTAAAAAGATATACCACGATGATTTGTCGGCGATTGAAAGATATCCCACAGTATTACATCATCAGTAAAAATATCATCAGAAATCATATGAGCGAGCGATTAGTAAACGTGGGATATATTTTATTATACAGATCATGACCAATACGTATAATAAATGTCGCAGCTGATGCTGAAATTCGGACCTATTTTGATCTGAAAATTTAAAAATATTTTTGGGGTGTTTTTATTCACTTTTTTTTAGGGTTGGGTTAGGATTTAGGATTAGAATTGATAATTAAAAAAGAGTATATGTGAAGTTTAGCAGGGTTTATATTTTCAAAATCGAGACTCCAAATTTCAGCATCAGCTGCGACAATAAATACATCACAACTAGGTCAATTTCAGATTATTCGGGCCAACCCGTTCGGAGCACTATATTTATAAATTCACGATATATTTTCCAAAATTTCTAATTCTAGAATAGCTTTCTCATCACACTTTATTGTATATACATCATTTAACGTTAAACGATTTAAATATTTATTATTATTACTTTAAACAAATTAGCAAAAGTACGTGCTACACCATTTCGCCGCTAGGAACTTTACTTAAATTTTGGTTTTAATCTTGCTCGAAATTTACATATATTCATTTTATATTTAGGATATTTCGAAACAGCTTTATTTTATTTCTTAATGCTGGCCAAATTTTAAAAAATTATTGTCGCAGCTGATGCTGAAAACGGCTGATGCTGAAATTCGGATCTATTTTGATATGAATTTTTTAAAAATTTTTGGGGTGTTTTTTCCCCGCTTTTTTTTTATAGTTGAGTTAGTGTTTAGGGTTAGACTTGATAATTAACAAGTATATGTGGATTTTAGCAGAGCTTATATTTTTAAATCGAGACCCCAAATTTCAGCTTCAGCCGTTTTCAGCATCAGCTGCGACAATTATTAAAAATTCTACGTAGGCACTCAAAATTCTATGTAAGCTACTAACCTGCGTAGTACTGTAGCTACATACTCTGATTTCTTTTTTTTTTTTTTTAAGACTATGTGAAATGCTTTCAATTTGTGAAACGATAGAACACCCTTCATGCCTACTATAAATACCGAATCCGTTCATACGTATTATATATTAAAATAATTTCTTGGCATATAAAGTTTTTTATCGGGTGTGTCAATAAAATTTTTAATTTTATAAATTAAAATTCGGGTCGTATGGTCACTAAAGGTTAGCTGGTGATATGAAAACCGATAGTATAAGTTTGTGTGGCCTTATAACTTTGATAAATATTTAAAAATTTGTTAAAACAAAGGCAATACATTGTGACTTCGAATAAGGCATATAAAGTCAGAATATCTTGGATATTTTTAAATATTAAAATTGCTAAAAATTTTAAGATAATCTATTTTAACTTTCAAAAAAAAAATATAATTATATTGTTTTAAATAATTATATATATAATCATATTGTTTTTACGTAAATAAATTATTTAATTATTTAATTATTTAATTATTAAAGCTTAGATGGCATGTCTTGAATATCAAAAATGTACATCCCTCTGTAAAGTAATGCGTCTTTTTTACAAATTTATTTTTATTCAAAACCATAACGATAACATATGTATATCACTGCCTAAAATAAATTTGCATCAAAAAGGTAACCTAAAAAACGAACTTTTGTATTATATGATTTGCGCTATACGTAGCGATAACAATAGATTTTAAAAGGCTATCCATGTTTGTTAATTATCTGACCAATGAAATTTAGACTCTTAGTGATATGCCTAGTTCATACGTACAGTACATAATTTTATTATTTCCACTATAGGCATAATTTTATTATACATATGTGCCAAGGGGAAAATCATACCTTGGAATTTTTTAATTTACCAAATACAATTCCTACGTAGACTTAGTCCAGTAAGCAGAAGTCTTTTTTAGGAGACTAATAAGTTTAAGATTTGGTATAATGAAAAAATTTGTATGATAAATCTTACCGATACAGATGCGGTTAAAATTTGGATGTCAATATGACCAATAACGATAAACTTATTAATCAAGTGTTTCATATTGTTATCGTTATACGTAGAACGCTTAAAATTACAGTGTGTTAAACAAAACAATCAAATTTGAACGACTAATAGTGTTTCACAAAGGAAATACGGCAAAATACGGTATGGTTCCCATAAATAAGATTTTATCGTTATATCTTAAACGCCTTGTTCGCCGTAGATATTTATCAAAATAACATTCTAATATTATTAAAGTTAAAATATCAAATTTCATAATCCACGTGTATGCAGGTTATATGTCTGCGCAAGGGCATAAATGCATTCAAATGATTATGTATGCCTAAATTGAAGGATTAAACTATTTTAATTTTAAATATACAAAATGTTTTAGCAACCATATGTGTATTGGTATATGATCATACAATAGATGTTCGTTTAAAATTACTATAACCGTGCTTAATCAGGTTCCCGACTATCGGAAGATTTGTCAACAAAGCGTGATTCATGCATATTTTGAATATATCAGTAATATCCTGGGAAAATAGAAAAAAATAGTATATAAAAATGTTTTCGAGGTAATTCTTCTTTTTTCTACTTTCTAACACAGACTTAAAAAAAAAAAAAGCTTCAAAATGACTGAACCTATTATATCATTTCATATTTACCTTTCGCTAATAATAACACTTCTTTTATCATTTATTGTTCTTTCGCTGCGGCCTCCAACTTCCGGATATCTGTATTTAAAATTATGTTTAATAGCTTCAGTGTACGCATCGATACCCATAATATTTGGTTCATATTATCCTTGTATAGATCATTTACCAATTCCTGTGCTTACTTTTACATTTTTATTTAAAATGATGGTTTGGTTAAAAAAAACTTACAAATTTGTCGGTAGGAAAAATGAAATCGATGCAAAGCCTGAAAAAAGTAAATTTATACCATTTTGGTGGACTTTATTCAGTTGGAGACGTAATGATCTAAGTCGTCAGAAGAGTCAAAAAAATATCCCACAACCTTTGACTTCACAAAAAGTAAATTCACTTTTATTTTTAAGTATAATTAGTTTTATCCCCAGGTTAATAATACGTGAGATTTGGGCATGTATCATAGAATATTTTAGTCCTGAAGTACCGGAAAGAACTTACGCACTTCGAATTATTGACTATTTTTATGCACCATCACAAAGTTCAGCTATAACTAGTCCTTATATGTTATTTTATTGTTATTTATACGGTGGATTTTTGTATCAGAACATGGATTACATATATCATTTATTTAAAGTCTTCGCGGCTGTCTTGTTATGGATTATATATCGTTTTCACTCTTCGAACTTTTATCATATGAATATACATTCATATTCATATTCTCGTCCTCCAAATAATTCGTACAACATAACAGTTATTCACATGACTTTATATTTACATTCATTATTAACTGCAACTCCTCAACTATTCGACAAACCGTTTTTATCTCAAAATCCAAAGGATTTTTGGTCAAAAAGATGGCATCAAATGTATAGATCAAGTTTTACAGAACTTGGATATTTTCCTATAATTAATTTTCTTAATTCTTTATCATTAAGAGTAACATTATTTAGTCGTGTTAATTCTGCTGGCAAACTTCATTTGATGGTCTCTAATTTCATCACATTACTTCGAAGACTCGGTTCATTATTAGGTTATAAAACATTTTTAAGCAGTAAAAAAATTCAAAAGGATATTCAAAACTTGGAAACTGTTAATCAAAAGGATGAAATGTTAAAGAGTAATCATATTTTTAAAAACAGTGGATCAACATATACTGCTTATGGTGAACTTTCAAGAGCTTTGGGAATTATAGGTAGCTTTCTATGGAGTGCTATATTACACGAATATTTATTTATTGGTTTATTTGGATGGAATAATAGCAGAGGTGAACACTTTTCTTTTTTCTTGGTACATGCAATATTAATGATCATTTGGGATGTATTAGGGAAATTAGCTGATAGATGTTGGAGGTTATATTATGATCGTGACCGTTATGAAAAGAATGAATTGAAAAAAACAGACAAGATTTTATTTATGATAAAAAAAATCATAGGGTTTATGATCTGGAATTTTGTGTTAACTTTAACATTACCTTTGTTTATCGAACCTTATATTAGACTACGTCACTTCTATTGTGTACCTCATCTGGGATGTCAACGAAAACTTTAACAAAAGTATCGTTGACAAGAATAGTAAAACTTTCATAAGGTTCAATAACAGATAGGTTTGTGATAAATGAATATATTAATTTTAACTTTAGCATTAACAATCTCAATCTTATGAGATGTGATGACTATCATGTATAATAATAAAAAGATATCAAGAAATGTAAATGTTTTTTAAAATAATAATAAAAAAAAAAAAAGAGTGAATGTTAATAATCTTGAGCTTGTGCTAATCGTGCTTCCAAGTTCCTCAGGGCTTCTTCTTTAGCTAGAAGCTCTTGTCTCTTTTCGGAGATTTCCCGTTGAACTTTTAATTCAATTTCTCTCAACTAAAGAATATATTGAAAAATATTTCAGTTTTGAAATCATAAATTCAATTTACTAACTGACGATAATAAAATGAATGCGTCATTTACCTTTTCTTCTTCACGTTTCAATTGTTCTTCCTTTATTCGTACACCTTGAGTAGTAAGATCATCAGGCAAGATATTAACATCCCTACAATAATAAGTGTTAATTAACATATATGATTCAGTATTTAATGCAATAAGCCTATGTATCTGTATTTACTCGGTGGTAGTATTGTCGACACTTCTGCTAAGTTTTTCTGTACGATAATTCTCGTATAAGAAGTCATGTGTAATCTCTTTTAAGTCTTGTAAATGAGAACTATGGTAATAAGTATATGATAAGTATAAACGATTAGCAAAGCTTTATGCAATGCTAAAACAAGAAAACATAACTACCTTAAAAGTGCTGATCGCAATCTAGCAAAATCCGAATGTTGTGGGTCTTCAACTGCAAAAAGAAAGAAAGCCCACCGATAGGATAATAATAATAATAAAGTCAGTATAAATTTTCATTCGATTTATATCTAAATCGAACTAGGACAGACCTTCAACAACACCCCATGGGTATTGTCTTCCACGAACTGATCTTCCATTTACACTGATCTCTTCTTCGCTGCCAATAATGGCAAAGGGTAGGAGGGCCTATGTTGAGACTATTAAACAAAACAAATACCTAGGGAAAAAAATAGATTTCTGAGAAACTGTAACAAGAAGATAATAATACCCTTAATTCACTATTCTCTTCAACTGTTTCTTCATCATCTTCTTCAACATCAAATGGAAAATTATAGATTGGGATGTTATAATGTTCGATATCCTCCATAATCTAATCACATATTCGAATTATATAAACAAATGTTGGATCATGTGTCAATTTATTGATAAAAAGTTTTGCACCTACCATCCTTTTAAATTCGGCCAATTCAGCTGGTGTACAAGTATCGGCCTTACCGACAACCGGAATGACGTTGACACGTGGACTAAGCCGTTTCATTAGTTCGATATCAATCTCGCGAAGACTAAAATTAATGATTAAATAAAAAAAAAAATCAATCTACATAATTTATTTTAACAAAACACGAATATAAAATAGATAAACTCATACGAATGACCCGTTGGCGTAATGAAATAAAGAAGTGCGTGAACTCGATTATCACGAAATCGAGGATTACGCTTAATCCTCGACTCTTCCGCCAAAATATCATCATATTGTCTCTCTAGATAGCCCATAATTTCCTGAAAACTAATAAAAATCTAAATCGGTAAAAAATAACATAGATAATATATATATATTTTTTTAAAGAAAAAAAACATATATATAATGTTACCAAAATTCATTATCTATATTATCCCCGAATCCAGGAGTATCCACAATTGTCAAAGCAATTCTAGCACCATCTTCATCCAATTCTGAAATGATTTATTTGGGAGCAATATATATTTATATAAAATAGATCAACAAATTTAAAATGTGATTAATAAATAACTTACCAACTGTAACCGGTTTGATTCGAATACCCGCTTCTACATGTGCAGTTTCGGGAGTATCACACAACTTTTTGGTCAAAACTTCACTACCGCAGAGGGTATTGACGAAAGTGGAACGGCCTGTTCCTGAAGCTCCTGAAATATTTAAACATAATCATTATTATCAAAAGCAAATAACATTTGTACATAGAGGTCATCATAAACACGTACCAACTACCATGAGGGTAAACTGAAATCCTTTTTTTACATTTTTTCTACGGCCACCCGATCTCTAAACAAAATCAAACAAAATTTATTATTATTAAAGAAATCTAGCATTTTAAATCGAGTAAAAATGATTTAAAATTTAAAGATCGGCATGACCTACATGAGCCATTGTTTATTCGATAAATTTAAAAGAAAGAAAGATACAGGAACAGAAAGAGAAAAGATCAAGTTGGTAAAATTGATGAAATCGAGACTTAAGAACAAAAAAGAATTTGCAGTAAAGCGGATTATATGCATTAAGATTATTTGTACATATAAAACAGAGACATGATTAGTACCGAGTATTCAGTTTCACAAAGTTCAAAAAGTCGAATCAATTAATAACCTATCAGCATCAATGTTCAATCACACCAATAATTAAAGGATAATAATATTAATTTCCTATCAAAGAGACTTTTTCTAAGAATTTGCAGTAGTTATCTACCAAGTTCCAAACGAATACGTAATGAGTATTTTTTGCTAGGAACCTATAGGGGCTAGAAAATGATCTTGCCGACCACCCGCTAAAATATATGATATAGTCGCTTCTGAACCGCTTTTCACAACGTTTTGATAGATCTTGTCCGCTTTTAACTATACTCTTTGCAAAATATTTGGACCGGCTCGTCTGCGCAGACCTCATATGCTTGTTAATGCACTGCGATAATAAACATGAAATTCTGCATATTTATAATATAATCCTTGAAACAAATCAAATTCTATAAGACAATAGTAATGCTAGGTAACGATGCTTTAAACAACAGGAATTTATTGAATTTATTAACAGCGAGATTACATCTCTTAGCACGGTTTCTATCATGCTGTTCAAAGCCGATTTAGCATTCACGTGACTGAATTTTATTTATTTTATCCGCAAAATACTGTATATACCCGATACTGTTTATCTTTATCGTTATCTTTATCTTAAGTGCTAGAAATTTCGAATAATAAATTTATTTAATTTATTTAATTTGCTCTATACTTTATTCTGTAGATTTTCACATGTTGCTGGGAGTTTTGGAGATAATAGAGATTGTACCTAATACCAGATTATTCCGGTTACAAACTGGATCATTTTTAATAACTTGGGTAACGGTTACTCTGATCATATTAATCAGTGTAATTGACAATCTGAATTTTTTTTTTTTTTTTTTATTATGATTTAATTCGATCGGTTACTCTATTCTAATAATAAATTAACTAAAATTAACCCAAATATAATACGTATTTACCGAATGGAAGCAACCAATATGTTGCGAATTTTTTTCGAGCCAAAGTGAAGGGGTTGCTTCTATTCGAGTCCAATTTTATTAAAAATAAACATTATTTATAAGATACGTATATGAACTTTATATATGTATATAAATTCTGACAGTTAATCTGAAGGAAGTTACGTATAACTCTAATGAACTTAATAATTTATAATTTAGGCTGGACTTTACTCAAAAAGCTTTCAAAGCAAAGTTTTATTGTATTTTAAATATACAGTATGTTCTATAAAATAAAACAAACTATTTTTATTAGCTTTTTTATTTTCTAAAAAAAGTACAGTAGTTAACCGTTGTATCTTTATAGGTGGACTTTAATATGATTGGCTAAAATTTTTATAGTTTAAAATAACACAAAAAAGTATATAAAAGTTTTTATTTGAAATTACCAGTTATATTATAAAAAAAATGTAGTCAGATCTTGTCAAAAAAAAAAAAGGCTGTGCCTATAGGAAGGTCGGATTAATATACAGTATCTTTAATGGGACCTAATAAAAATAAATTATGATTATAGTTAGTGTAACTATAGCGAGGGCTGACTGTATACGTACTACATACGTACGTACGCACTTAATTTAATTTTATACGTACTTAATAGTAACAAATATTTTATAAATATATAGGAATAAATTAATAAAATTTTTAATTTTTTTAAAAGTTTATATAAAAAAAAATTGTTTAATCAATTTAGTTGTTTGTTTTAAAAACATTTTTGTTATAAAAAATTTGCTTGATTCCTATTATCTTTTCAATTCAACAATTAAAAGTAAAATATTCATTAATGGTTAACACGAATAAAATGAAATTACATGAACGTAATACGTATGAATTTTTTTTATTTGATTGGCCAATCACGAGTTTCTCACTATAACTCAGGTCGACCCACGGGTTGATCCAGTGTTGGCCTATGACCTGTTATGACCTATTGGCCAACTATAGGTTATGACTTTATGACCTGTTATGACTTATAAAATTTACTATTACATTATGGTCATAAAGTTGACCCAAAATGGCCAACACTGGGTTGATCCACAGATTGACCCGCTTACATATACAACCAAATGTCTGACCACCCGGATTGACCTAAGTTGACCCGAGTTGAGTTCAATAGCCTTTAAAAAAAA